TAAAAAAAAAATAAAAAAAATAAAAAAAAAAAAATAATGTGCTGCTCACTTAACTATCCCAAGGATAAAGATCAGCAAAGAGAAAATATGATTTATTCTAGAATTTTCTTGGATAAAGCCAAAAACACCAGATAGGCGACACTGCGATACACCATTTCGGTTTTTGCCAATTTCGTACCGGCAATTTTTATGTAACAGATGATGCTGCATGGTGTGGAAGGCAAATTATCGAAGATGTGGCTAAAATATGAGAATTAGTCTAGTCTGAGGGTCATGTGAGCGCTGTTTCCATTGCTCACGAGCTAAGAGTTCAGACAGAAAATACTATTTCGAACTACTTGAAAATGGCCGGATACATAGAGAAGCTCTATGTATGGGTGCCACATGAGTTAATGAAAAAAAAACTCATGATGAATTTGCAATCCGAATTAAATGCATTCTTTCAGCATTCGATATCAAAATACTGTTAAAGAACGAAGCAAATACGTCGTGTATAGACGGAAATAGCGAGAGATCGAAACGCGTGAGTGAGATTAGCTTGATAAGCTAGTCGCGAGAGGTGAAGCTCAAAAATTCTATGAAAAATTGCGGAGAAGTTGCTTCCAAAAGGTTTCGAAACCGATGCAAATTCATGTGTAGGAACGAGAAAGACGCGCGGTTGACCGATGCAGAGCTCACGGATGGAAGACATCTCTAGCCAACTCAATTCCAGTGATGAAGGAAATATAGAATATGGCGAACCCGAACCCTCAAACGCTGAAGATGATGACACGACAATAAATGAAATAAAAGCAATTACTACAGCACTCAACACTTTGGAACAAAACTAGAGACAGGCAGACATATTCAAACCAACCACAAACTACTGAGAGCCACCCACTCATCGACAATTCATTTGGAAAATTACAACAAGAGCCACAAATGACATAAAATCCTATGATTTACGTGATCATTAGATAGATTAAGACAAATGAAATGATAGGTTTAGTGGTGGAGCAAGCAACATCCAGGCTTCCACGCTCCAAAAAGGATAAATTTCCAACAATTCTCATTGAAGTATGGCAAGTGTTGCACATAAAATTTGCTACAACACCCAGACAAGTGTATTTTTGTTAATGTTTTTCTCTTAGGGGGTGGTGGGGAAGTCAGAAGAAGCCTTGTTATTCAAACACCGTTAACGCACACACATTTTGCCGGCCAAAAGCATTGATTGTTGCGTCGCGTATGAGGAAAACGGCAGCAACCCCTCAATGCGAGTATGCAGAAAACGATATCACGTACGTCGAAAACCCCCCCCAAAGGAAGCCGAGCAAATGAGGAAACCACTAGCACTGGCAGCTATCTCCATATACTTACAATCTATTTATGCTGGGGAGAGTAGTTCTGGTCTGAGGCCGGGGCAGACAGACCGTGCCTTTAGCATGCCACAGTCGGGGAAATATATTGACGGTCGCTTTTGCTCGACATGACTTTCATTAATTTAACTTTTTCTCACCCACTTTTTTTCTATTGCAGTTTCATTACTGTTTTGCCCGCCGCAAGTGGAGAATGAAAGAAATGAAAGCCGGTTAATTGCGTTCAAGTTCATGACTTTTGTGAAAGTAAAAAATTGAGACGAGACTTGTAATACGTGCAGCTAACAAGACCAGCTAATAAGACCAGCTAACTTAAGGATTAAATAGAGCTGTGTGTTTGTGTTTTGTTTCGCAAGTCCGTAGCTCTCAACACTGCCTAAACTCACAAATCCCCCTGCGGGTAAGGGGTTCAAGAATTTACCCGCGGTAAGAAATGCCTGTCGTAAGAGGCAACTAAAATCCAATAGTTCCTGCAACAGTCGGGTCTTTATACCGGAACGATCCGGATATTTTATCCAATATGCAACATTCCCCAAAAATTACTTTGAGAAATACTTTTGCAGTTACAACAACAACAAACTTCACTGCCCACTGGTTCGGCTACGGTAAGTTCTTTCCAGGAACACATAAATCTCTTTGGCACTCAAAAATGAAGAAGACTTCGGCCTCGAAGAGTCGGAACTTTCGATTAACCACTGGCACTCAAATCCGGCTTCGAAAAATTTACTAGTTTCTAGCACTCAGCGAATAGTGCACCGCTTGAGCTTACATATTACTCTGCCAGGTCTCGTTTCGGAATCTCTTTAACATCAAGGCTTGAATATTAGAACAGAGTCTCGACGCGACTGATTTTCAATATTTTCGGACTTCATTTCAGACTGAGCTTCTCGTAAATCTACTGAATAAAAAGTGAAAAGAGCAAACGTTTTCACCGCATTTTCAATCTACAAAGTCGCATCAAAGACCGAGCAATACTTTGATTCCTGGAACTTTGAAAGGATTTTTCGCATGGTCACGACCCCAAAGATTCGAAACTACCGATTGTCTTTAATCTCCGTAGCCGTACCCTAGACCAATTATTCACTATTTCCAACTTGACGCACAAAAAGGAAGCTTATTCGACTCTATAAGGTCAAAACTATCGTTTAATTCACAAGGCCTAACGCCGACACCTTTGAATTATACATAGACAACGCGTCGCGTCTCTTAGCCTAGTTCCAGTAAACTCGATTCTTTCAGACCCTTAATATGTGCTTTGAATTTTTACACTTGACTACTGTACGATGTGCTGCTTGAAGGCGAAACAGAAATATTTGTTTACGCATTGCAGAGTCTCTTGACAACTTGCTGGTTGACTTGCAGAAGCTAGCCACTTGTAAATTGGTTGAAGAACTTGGCATTTGTGATACTGGTAAATAACGCTAGAGTTCACTGTTTGTATATAAGTGAACACTCAAACAGTTGCTCACACTCCCTAGCTCCCACTCTCTCTCACACACACACCATGTTTCCCATTCTATTTCTCTTTCTCTTTTACTTCTTCACTCCACACGCTCATCACCTCATTCTACTCTGCGGGTATATCCCATTGGCGCTTTCACATGGCGTCGAGTTTCAATGTCAATTTTAGATTGCCTAACTTTAGGCGCAGACAAAAATAATGTTCTAAAAAAATATATATATACAAACTCATTTGCATAAAAGAATTATTTTAGTATGAGCGTCGTGTAATTTTAAACATTTACATGTTGTTCTTTTTTCTACCAACCAACCACCCTTTGTTTACACTTTATCCATATGTAATGGGCTCGCTTTGGCTAACACCGTTAAATAAAATGCGATAAAATTCAGTAAAATGCAACCCCTAAATGTAGACTACGCAAACAAATATACTAAATGCAGCAGAGACTCACACCACTTTCACATTTTTTTTGTTTACAACGACTCAACCAACGCTTGGCTAAAAGGAAAATCGTTTTTGTTTTACATTTGAAATTCCACTTTATACTGTCATTTTTCATACACTACGCGGCTATTTTAAATTTCATATGCGTTCGCCTTTTTTCTATTTAAATGTAAATTTCTATTGGAAGGAATGCCTGAAAATATGCTACAAAAGCGACAGAGCGACTGTGAATTCCCCGAGCTCAAAGAAAAATAAGGCATTTCTACTGAAGCGTGAGTTATGGCGGACACAGACGCCGAAAAGCAATATCAAACATCGAATTGCGCCAACAACTTTCACTAAGGAAAACAGGATGCAGGAGTAGCGGAAACGCGGTCTGTGAGTATAATTTGTGTTGGCGTGTACGTGATAACCACTTCATCGCTTCATTTGATGTACAACATAAAGGAGTAATATGAGTAGTATGTGCGAAAAAAGAAACAGTCAAAGTGGTAGAGTCCCGCTTGGCGAATCATCAGCTGCTGCTGGTAGCGGTGCCATCGATTCGGTGACAAGTTACGGCTATGCGTCAACACTACAGATGGCATGTCAAACTAAATAGTGGAATTATATCTATAAGAAAATTTTTTTGCAAGGGAGAATATAAAAATAATATGCTTATAAAGGGGATACATTGAAATGCAGTATCCATAGATTTTATCACATGCTCACCACCGCAGGAGGTTGTCCGAAGGAATATAATTTTTTTTTTATTTTTCTACTCTTTTCTTCGCGACTTGTATTTGGAATACTAAACGGCAACGGAAATGCAATTTACCTTGTCAGACACGAATCGATTTGTTTGAAATTGAACGATTGCTGTTTATTTCTTACGATTCTGGTTAAGGCGATGCGATGAGTGAGTAGTCAAGTTAAGTGGATTTTATGGCGATGAAAATATATTTCCTAAACGAGCCTGCCCAAAAGAAGTATAGCAAAATAAAAAGAAAACTGAATAAAAATTTTTGAATAAGACCGAAATAATGAAATAAAATAAAATTATTATAAAACCAATAAAAAATATTTATATAAAAATAAAAAATAAATTAAAAAATAAAATTAAAGTCAATAAAAAACTAAAATAAAAAATAACTAAAATAAAGCTAAAGCAGAATATAACAACTAAAATTAAATTAAAATTAAATGAAATAAGAAATTAAAAAATAAAATTAAATAAATTAAAATATAATATATTTTATAAAAATATGTTGGAAACTTGTTCCAAGCCGCCTCCGAGTAGCCGATGAATATTTATGAGAAGTTTTTTTTTCATGACAGAAATATACTCCGAGGTCTTGTTATTCCCTCCGAGGGGCGAAAGCAATTAAAAAATTAATTTTCTATATTTTTTGATTTTCGGGCACAGCAGGTCTGAAACGCTGGTCCTCCGAATGGCAGTACGCAGAGCTAACCACTCGACCGTTGCGGCCGCCTAGAATTGAATTATATATATAATTGGCGCTTTGTAACCGCTGAAGCGATTTTCGGCCGAGCTCTTCCTCCATTTTGTGGTTTTGCGTCTTGATGTTTTTCCAATAAGTGGTCCCTACTACACCTTGCTCTAGCCGACTTTTACAAAAATTAATATTTATAAGCGCAAGAAACATGTTTATGTTGCTTTAGAGATAACAGAGGGTTCAATCCAATCGGTGGACTCAGATATGTGAGGACTTTCTACTAATAATTTATGAGCCAATTAGTTGCGAGATATTTTTATTTATTTATACAAATTCGGTATTCAAAAAGGACATTAGAACTTATGCAGCAACTGATGAAGAATTGACTGGTGCGGCAGATGAACTGACTTCGGGTGCAGCACTTGAAGAGGCGACCGGAGCGGCAGTTGAATTGGCAGCAGGTGCAGCACTTGAAGAGACGATCGGAGCGGCAGTTGAATTGAAGCTTGGACGGCCACGACAGCCTGGACCTGGACGGAATGCACCGCCTCTTTGAGGACCGCGTGGGCCGAATCCTCTTACTGGTCCACCTCTACCACCACGTCGACCACCGCGCCTACCAGAGAAAAATTGTGCTGTGAAATTTTGAATTAGAATAAAATTAGAACAGAAATTAGATAAGATACAACAACATACCATCAGCAAAGGCCAAGGCGACGGCGATAAACAAGAGTACTGTGAAGAATTTCATTTTTCTTAATTAACTGCTGCTCTTTGGTATGAGGACTTTAGTTAAGTGTAATTAAAACACTGGTTTCACTGTATTTTTATACTATAATTTTTTGCAAGCTTCGGCATTTCAACGAACGCTTTCAAATAAATTGGAGAAGAATAGCAATATTTGTTTTGAACACACAAGACGTGAGAAAATAAAGCTAATAAACAGTGCCAATTTTATTTACTCCGCCAAACTTAATGACGCAACTAGTATATTTCGAAAAGTAGAAAAACACTTAATATGGGCCTAACTGTTGAATTGGTGAATTTAGATCAAAACATATGTTTTAAAAAAAAATAGTTCTCAGCTAAGCCACTAAAATAAATAAAACTAAATAAAGGAAAAAAAGCCTAACCCAAAACTGAAAAATAAGACATAATAATAAAGACTGTAAAATTAAAGCAAATAAAATATAAAAAATTAATCATAGAATATATAGTACAATAAGAAAAATTTAATTGTAATAAATAATACAAAATAAATAAAATGAAATAAAATAAAATACATTAAAAAAAATATAATAAAATAAAATAAAATCAAATAAAATAAAATAAAATAAAATAAAATAAAATAAAATAAAATAAAATAAAATAAAATAAAATAAAATAAAATAAAATGAAATAAAATAAAATACAATAAAATAAAATACATTAAAATAAAATAATATAAAATAAAATACAATGAAATAAAATAAAACAAAATAAAGTAAATTTAAATAAAGTTATGTTACTATAAATGAAAAATATATTATAAAATAAAATAAGATGCGTCAAACAAAACTATATATAAAAATATAAAAATAATTAATTTAAATAAAAAAAAATTTTACACACCTAAATTTCATTAAAGTAAATTAAATTCAATAACATATCAAAAGAATTAAATTAAAGTAGTATAAAAAAATTATATAAAAAAAAGTTAAATATTAAAATAAAGTTAAATAAAATAATTTGAAATAAAAATAAATTAAATACCTATGTATATGTAAAGGTTCATTAAACTAATAAATTTGATAATTTTTGCCATCCAACAGTTTTATTTTGGATTTTCGTTGCTTTTTTTTTGCTCTAACTACAATATTAGTAAATAATAAATGCTTCTCATGTCGATTGGTCTTAATCGTTGTCTTCCTCTTATATATTCTCCGGTTTGTTTTATTTCTCTCTTCCAATACAATATATACCATAACAAAAATATTTACTCATTATCATTTCATGCTTAAACACTTAAATGCGAACGAATAAAGAATGAATACTTGGTATCTGCCATAAGCGCCTTAAACTATGCAACACTTTAATAATATTCAGTTTGCAAAAACACAATTGCTTTTATTCCTTTACATTTACGTTTATTGCATGATATACACTTTTATGCTGTTCAATCAATACATACACCCCATAGAATGCATATATTTATATATATGTTTATGTATGTACATACATACATTAAAGAAGCTTTTCACCCCTACGCACACATCGCACTTGGCTAAGCATATAATCTTGTCAATTTCTTCACTACACATTTGCCGTACCAGAAGACAACAAACGATTGGCTATTTTTCGTTTGCTTTGTGTTGTTGTACACAGTTATTTTAATATTCCACTGGTGTTTAATTTGTGTTTTGCTTGCTTCGGTCTTTACCGTTACTTATTGTTTTGTGTTTTTTGCACTTGCCTAGTAGTGTCCTTAACTATTTTTTGCTTTTACCCTATTCAGTGACTGCTCTGGAATTTCAATCCGCCGACTTGGCGACCGGTGTATTATACATACATATGTACAGACGTTTATATGTTTGTAATATTTTTTTTTTTTTTTTTTGTAATTCATTTTGCTATTTTTCCCGGTTTCTCTTCTTTTTCTTACATTTTGCTTTTGTAAAAACACAGCAATTTATATTTATGGCATTATTAAAAATTCTGAAATTTATTTCTTTGACTCATTCAATTCCTCTTTTAGCGCACAGCTATGTATGAATATTTTATGTGCCCAAAAGTATGCTATACAACACTCAGCAATAACATTTCTCAATTTTAATAGCCTTGAAGCTCGAGAATTAGAACGGAATGAATAACGTTTTGAAGAGTTCATTGAATGCTCGCAAAGCTGTTAACTTTGCATGCCGCAACCGATGCGCACGATGGAGGGCGTAAATATTGGGAAAGCTAAAAACTAAAAAAAAAAAATTTATTTAATATAATAACTTTTTTTATAATATATGTATGTTTTATTATTATTAGATCGCTGTGATTAGTAGCGTGTGCTGCCATTCGATGGCTTATGACTTCTAATTCTGGCCAGAGGAATATTCAAAATTGAAAAGAAAAATTCTAAAGCCATTCACTCTTCAACTACCAAGCCTCACCGGCAGCCAAATCGGAACAGCGTAATTTACTACCGACCGCCCTATGCCTTGTACGTTGCAAGAAAAAGACTCTCACCTCGAATATATTGCAGTAACAGGGCAACACGAGAGTTTATCTTAAACTATGCTCAATACATTCCGTCGTCCAACCCAACAGCAATATGATCCATACATTTAGTCGCACCATTTTTTTTCTTCTTTCTCAAATATCCAAAACTTGCGAGCAGTAGCTCAGATATTCACTCTTCTCTTGTATTTCAGTTACATGTGTCAGAAGGTTTTGATAGAGAAGTCAGCTGAGGTCGCTAATATTATATTGAGTCTCTTGGTGTCTTCAAAACCAAGCATCCGTATAAAGTAGGAGACTTAAGCATAATAAATTACAGTCTCTATAAATAAACAATGAAACAACATAAACAAAAACAATACATACGTCAATTATTAGGTCCAAGTAAATAAAATCGGTACTTTTTAATAGAGCCAGTAGTTTCGGTATGTAAGTTATATCTTCTTTCCCGGCGCTAGAGCGGTTTTATGTGCGTTGTCTAGTCTAGTAATGCTGTAAACACAGTTGGTGCTTACGTCTGGGTTCAAAACAAATATTTTCTTCTTTTGTTTATTTGCAGAAGTTCGTTGAAGTAGCGTATTTTAAAAATTACGGTATAAAAGTGCTGATAAATCAGAGTTTCAACAACACTTAACTAAAGCACCCAAACCTAAGAGCAGCAGTTAATTAAGAAAAATGAAATTCTTCACAGTACTCTTGTTTATCGCCGTCGCCTTGGCCCTAGTTGACGGTATGTTGTTGTATTGACTTCAATACTTTATAAGTAATTTTTCAAATTTCATTTGAAATCAAAATTTTACAGCACGACGTGGCTTTTTTGGCAGACGTGGCGGTTCTCATGGTGGTCCCGGTGGTAGAGGTCGACCAGTAGGAAGATTCGGTCCACGTCATCCACACGGAAGCGGTCAATTCCATCCCGGTCCATTCCAGCCAGGTCCATTCCAGCCAGGTCCATTCCATCCAGGTCCAGGCTGTGGTGGTCGTCCAAGTTCAACTGCCGCTCCGGTCGAATCTTCAAGTGTTGCACCCGAGGCCAGCTCATCTGCCGCTCCTTCAAGTGCTGCACCTGAGGACGGCTCATCTGGTGCTCCTTCAAAAGATGCACCTGAGGACAGTTCATCTGCTGCTCCTTCAAGTGTTGCCCCAGAGGCCAGCTCATCTGCCGCTCCTTCAAGTGCTGCACCCGGGGACAGCTCATCTGCTGCTCCTTCAAGTGTTGCACCTGAGGAAAGTTCATCTGCTGCTCCTTCAAGTGCTGCACCTGAGGACAGCTCATCTGCTGCTCCTTCAAGTGCTGCACCTGAGGACAGTTCATCCGCTGCTCCTTCAAGTGCTGCACCTGAGGCCAGTTCATCTGCTGCTCCTTCAAGTGCTGCACCTGAGGATAGTTCATCCGCTGCTCCTTCAAGCGTTGCACCTGAGGACAGTTCATCTGCTGCTCCTTCAAGTGTTGCCCCAGAAGCCAGCTCATCTCCTGCTCCTTCAAGTGCTGCACCTGAGGATAGCTCATCTCCTGCTCCTTCAAGTGCTGCACCTGAGGACAGCTCTTCTGCTGCTCCTTCAAGTGTTGCACCCGAGGCCAGCTCATCTGCCGCTCCTTCAAGTGCTGCACCCGAGGCCAGTTCATCTGCCGCTCCTTCAAGCGTTGCACCTGAGGAAAGTTCATCTGCTGCTCCTTCAAGTGTAGCCCCTGAGGACAGCTCATCTGCTGCTCCTTCAAGTGCTGCACCTGAGGAAAGTTCATCTGCTGCTCCTTCAAGTGTTGCACCCGAGGCCAGCTCATCTGCCGCTCCTTCAAGTGTTGCCCCAGAAGCCAGCTCATCTCCTGCTCCTTCAAGTGCTGCACCTGAGGATAGCTCATCTGCTGCACCTTCAAGTGCTGCACCCGAGGCCAGCTCATCTGCCGCTCCTTCAAGTGCTGCACCCGAGGCCAGTTCATCTGCCGCTCCTTCAAGTGCTGCACCTGAGGACAGTTCATCTGCTGCTCCATCAACAGTTGCGGCATAAGCGTTATTGGGCTAGTGGAATACCTATGGAATTTTTGTATTTGAATAAAAACTGATAATAATTTATCCCAAAAAATATTTGCTTGTTTTTTTTTTTTTGGTAAAAAAAAGCTTTCCCCAAGTCCGCCAGTTGAAACGGAGCATCTGTTATCTATAAAGGAACATAAGAACAGCTTTTGATTTTGCAAATATTAAACCCTTTAGAAAAAAAAAATTAGAGGGTAGAAAAGTCCCTTGGGCAGACCAGACATATGGGGAGAGTAAAGTTCTTCGGAGCGTAAAGGTAGCTGTAACAAAAGCAGTAAATAAAGAAATCTGCGTACCTTCGACCTTTAAAAATTTTTGTTGATATCCTGAAAACATGAGACTGTGGTTTCGAAACCCTCGACTAAAAAAATATTGAGACCAAATTTATTATAGTATATTTTTTCTTTACTTTTTGTATTTTTTTTTTTTTCATTTGGTTTTATAAACATTGTTTAGATTTTTTTTAAATTATATTATATTATTTTATTTTATTTTATTTCATTTATTCATTTTATTCCATTTCATTCCATTCCATTCCATTCCATTTCATTTCATTTCATTTCATTTCATTTCATTTCATTTCATTTCATTTCATTTCATTTCATTTCATTTCATTTCATTTTATTTCATTTCATTTCATTTCATTTCATTTCATTTCATTTCATTTCATTTCATTTCATTTCATTTCATTTCATTTTATTTTATTTTATTTTATTTTATTTTATTTTATTTTATTTTATTTTATTTTATTTTATTTTATTTTATTTTATTTTATTTTATTTTATTTCATTGTATTGTATTGTATTGTATTGTATTGTATTGTATTTTATTTTATTTTATTATTTAGTAAAATTATAAATTAAATATTATTCAAATTAATCTAACTAAAATACCATATAAGTCTTGCAATTGGTAGAGTAAATAAAAATAGCACTATTTGTTCACGTTTTGTGGTTTTTGTGTACAGTTGGTGTTTTTGTCTGCGTTCAAAACAAACATTCCTATTTTTACCTGTTTATTTGAAGAAGTTCGTTGACGTAATATATTTTAAAAATTATGGTATAAAAAGGCTGAGGAACCAAGGTTTCAACCACACTAAACTAAAGTTCTCAAAGTAAAGAGCAACAGTTAATTAAGAAAATGAAATTCTTCACAATACTTTTGTTCATCGCCATCGCCTTGGCACTTGCTGATGGTATGTTTTTGTATTGTTCATTTCAATGTTTTGTAAATAAATAAAATTGCTAATTCTAATTTTAAATTTCACAGCACAAGCTATCCGTGGAAGACGGGGTGGTCGACGTGGATTTGGCTCACGTGGTCTTCGAAGAGGTTCAGGCTGTGGTGGTCGTTTTAATTCTACTGTCACCAATTCAACCGCAGCTCCGGTTTCTACTTCAACAGTTGCGGCATAAGGCGCTTATGCAAAAGTCGAAAAAATTGTACATATAATGTTTGGCTGTGAATAAAAATTAATAATTCCTTGCAAATAATTTTTTGATCTTTTCAGTTTAGTTTTTCCTCTTTTTATTTCTTAATTGTTTTATTTCAATTAAATTTCCTTGAAAATTATTTATATTTTTTTTATCACTTTATTTTGTTTTAATTTAAATTCACATTTTACTTTCTCTTAGAATCCTGTTTCATGCTATATTTTTTTAATTTTAATTTTTATTTTTTCATCAAACTTGTCTTAAATTTAGTTCCTTATCAGCTTATTTTATTTCATTACACTGTATTTTATTTTATTTTATCTTACTTAATTTTGTTTTATTTTCATTTTATTTTATTTTAATTATTTTATTTTTTATTTTTTTTATTTTTTTTAACATTATTTTTTTTATTTAAATTTTTTTAAATCTACCATATTTCCGTCTCCAAACCCACTCACTCCAACATACACTTTCGAACTCAATTATCTTCGCCTAAAAGCACACAACGTTTAATTGCACATTTAATAGCCAATAAGTGCTTCGATGACGATAACGATGCTGATAAATAAAGTTTGCAATATGAAATGGAGCAGAATTGAAAACTCATCAAATAAAATCCATGTTTGCACTTACCCCAGCCACGCTGTGTGCGGTCAAATGTTTACCACCGCCCGACTTATTGCCGCTGCCCGTAGCAGCACCAGCAATGCTTGTCACACCACCGCCACCGCCACCGCCAGCTGGACTACTCGACAACTGCATCGACTCGTTGGAGTTGGCAGATATTTGTGATGAGTTCATTATTGAATTACCATCGCCAGCATTGCCGGCGGCACCACCATCCGGCATTAGATGGAAGTTTAATTGTACACCAGCGCCAGCACCACCTCCACCAGCAACATAGTCCGCAGACGTGGACTCGCTATCACTGCCGGCAGCGCCAGACGCATTTGGGGAGTGTGAGTGTGCAGCAAGAGCATCACCGCCTGCCTGTTGTGGAGTGGGTGTTGTTGGTGTTGGTGTTGGGGGCGGCAATTGCTGCAGTGTACTCGATATCAAAGTGGGCGCGCCGATGAGGGGCACTGTGTTGCTGCTGTTGTGACTGCTATTCGCCATATTCTGTAGTTTAGCTGCGGATCTATTGCCTGATCTGATTGTTGTCGATGTTGTTGTTGTTGATGTTACTGCCTTTGTTGGTTCATGTACATTTCCGCTTGTTAAAGTCAACGCGCGCGATTTTTCCGACATTACACGTTCGAGGCAGGAGGCACTTTGCTCAGTTTGTGGCACACGTGTGTTTGTGACTGCTACTTTCCTCCAGCTTAAAGGAGCGTGTCAGACGCGTTAGTGCGTGTTTGAAGTCACAAGCCTCTTGCCTCCGCAGAGCACACTTGATTTTCACTAGAACTCAAGGCGACATGAAGAAAGCTCGTGTGGATTATTTTCAGCGTGTCGAGGAGCTTTGAAAAAGCAAATCGCGAGGAATAGTTTCGAACAACAAAAATACATTCGATTGTCAGTGTCAGTGTCCGTCCACAAGTATTGTGGGAAGTCAGTTGAGCGACGAGCTTGCTTTTAGTAAATCATCTGCAAATAAAATAGAAAACACATTAAGATATTAGTGAGGTTGGGTAGAATATTTTCTGCAATATACAGTACATATTGTCATTTAAAAATTCTCGTTCAATTAAAACCAGATTATTACAATCACAAGGACTTTCAAAAGTACGCTCTTCCTGCATTTGATGTGAGGAAACGCATACTTCATATAAATCGATCCCCACGGGATTTTTATTTAACTACACGGACATGCGCGCTCGAGTCGGGATCTGTGTTTGCAAAGCATCCCGGTTGCCGTCCTTTTGAAGGCGACCAATTCGCCGATACTTAGTTCGCCGCGAACTACGTCCATCGGCAGGTCTTTGCCGTTGTCACTAATAATTTTAAAGTAGAGCGTAAGTGCTTTCGGTAAAAAATTATGGTTTTGACGGACTTTTTTTCACGCTTCACTCAAGATCGAATATACGAAAGTCATCAAAGTTTAGCCAAACCAGGAATAGACCTTCTTACCATACAATGGACCTTGTATTTTTGAGCCATCTGTGAACTTAAAATAAATCTAACTAATGTTCGGCGCCTGCAACACCCGAGTGGTTAGCAGTGTGTACGGCTTCGGAAGGCCCGGGTCGAGTCCTAATTCGACCCACATCCAATGATACATAAAATACTTTTTTCAATTACGGTCAGCCCTTGGTAGGGAATGTCAAGCTCTTCGAGTGTATTTCTGACATGAAAAAAAGCTCCTCATACAAATACATCGGGGAAAATGGCTTCAGCTGTTACAATGCGCTTTAAAGCTGTTCCATTTTATTTATATATATAAATTATCTTTCTTTATTTTACATTTTTTATTTTATTTATTTTGTTTTATTTTATTTTACTTTCTTTTTAAATATTTTATTTTATTTTATATATTTTCATTACATTTTCCTTTTTTATATTTTTTTATTTTATTTTTTTCATTTAATTAAGATTTATTTTTATTTAATTCTATTCTATTTTATAATTTTTATTTCATTTTATTCTATTTTATTTTATTTTATTTTATTTTATTTTATTTTATTTTATTTTATTTTATTTTATTTCTCTGTTTGTTTCTTAGTTTATTTTTTTATTATTTTCTATTTTTTTGTTTTTATTCTCTAGCCTATCCTATTCTCTTATCTTTAATTTGATATGGTAGTCAGAAACTTGACTTATTTGGGTAATCAACACATGACCAATTCATTATTGACTCAATTTCATAGTTCAATGACATACGAACTTACATACAATGCATACTTGAATTTATTTTATGAAAAAAATCTCTAAAGCTACGGAAACTATTGCCACTGGTTTTGCTGCAGTGCTAGTTTCAATGCTTATTCCACCCAAATTATAATGGGAACCCATATAAAATGTGACAAACAACGGTTATTATTATTAAAAGCATTTCGTTGCGCTTATGAATCATCACTCAAAAAATGAAAATTAAAATTAGAAAAAAAAAGAATAAATAAATTGGATTCTTCCGCAGCGCTGCACTGCTACTAACATTACCGTATTACTCAAATATGTTTTTTAACCAAATTGTTATTTTTTCTATAATTCTTCATTTATTTTTTTACGACTTTTACACTTCGTCTCATATTACATCACACTTTCGTGTATCATCTGTCAAATGAATACAAATTCAAATGTCAAAAAGAATAATAATCATAAGAAAATCCCTCGTAAATGTCATTGTCAAGTGAAAGAACGTGAGCCCAAGAGCAAATTTTGTTATTATAAATTCTTCTCGGGGTCATACGGCAATGCTTGTTTTTGTTGCATACGTTAAAAGTTACGTGTCGGTCGGTTGGTCGGTCGGTTCTTTGTCAATTCAATCTTCTCGAAACACTGGCTTGCGAAGTACGCACATATTGCTTTTTTTTTTTTTGCTTTTTTGCTGGCACGTTTACATGCCATAAAATGTTTACGAACGAGCTAACCGACTTTTGCTCAACTTTTTCGAAAGTATTTTTTTTTTTTGCTGAATTTTACAGACTTTCATTTTTTAGTTTTTTTCCAATTTACTTTGTTTGATTTTTTGTTATTTGTTTTATTTTTTAACATTTCTTCATGTCTTCTCGAAATGGAACACAAATATTTCGAAAGGAATATGTGCCGCCAAAAGATGGTGTTTTTACCAAGAGAGCATTCCTCGTAGTGGTTGGACGATTGGTCTGAATGTTCCGGAGATGTTCTTCAATCTCATTGACTTTGTCATTGTACAATTTCTTGACACCCTTCAATTTTATTCTGTCTTTCTTTGAGTTCTACGCAGTCTATGACCAAATTATCTTCAAGCCATGTGAGCCGCTATGAAATACGCGTTTCGCGGTCTAGCAGTTGTGATGCAATGTTGGTATTCATTTCTAAAGTGTTAATTGTTCTCAGCACTCGCTTGTGCAATTGTGAGCCAATAGCATCTCCTTCAACCTCCTTTGTTGGCTGCTCCTAATCCTTGTCAGAATAAACGCCGGATGCTTCGCCTCTTCAATGCTATCAATACCGAGTTTCACACTCAACTGATCATACGTGTTCTGGGAGTTTCTCTATCTAACTTTAGTTATCGGCTTCTCCTCCTCAGATCACATTCGTACAATATTATATTTTACTTGATTTTAATTTTTTTATTTCGTTCTATCTGATTTGATTTTATTTAACTTATTTTATTTGTTGCATTCCATTTTTTTATAAATTATTAATTAGTGTTATTTATTTTATTTTATTTTATTTTATTTTATTTTATTTTATTTTATTTTATTTTATTTTATTTTATTTTATTTTATTTTATTTTATTTTATTTTATTTTATACATCCATAACTGTTGTTGTAATTTTTTCACTATTTCCAAAAAATAAAAACCCCAAAAACAATTCAACAGAAGAAAGACCTGAACAAGCATCTATTAAATTCATTTTGTTTAATGTTATTTATTTAATATTATTCGTTCTTTTTTTTTAATTTTTTCTTAATTAATTTTAACTTTTTTAATTTAGTTTTTCTTAATTATTTGGTTTTTATTTTTAATTTTCTTAATTCTAAGATTTATGGTGTCGGAACTTTAGCTTTTTAGTTACTGACGTCCTGAGGTTCAACGCTTTTACCTATCAAAGCAGTAAGTTTTAGTTTACTACATACTTACACACAGATTTCCATACAATTGCGGTTTCAAATGGTCATCCACTTGGTGTTTTACTACCACTTCTACTGCAGCATATAATTAAATTAAAAAAAAAATAATAAAGAAATCCATTTTATATCGCCTTAATTGCCAATCAATAATAATAAATTTAACAAAGCATTTAAGTGTATTTAACGTCAATTTAACGCATTTGAATTGGTGTGAATAAGTAACGAAAAAAGAGAAAAAAAACCTACGCTCAGCTAAAAGAGAAATATGCATACAAAACCAAAACACGAAACGTGATCCGCGTTGCCTTTGAGATACCCGAGCGAACATTTAAATCCACACAAAAACATTAATTTATTATATAATTAAAAGATAGACGTGCCCTTATATGGGCGTGCAAAAGAAGGCAAAGGAATGTCTAAAGAATGCGATAAATCTAAAGATGTTAAGTATGAAATACATGTGATGTGAAGAGAAAAAAATAAAACAACAGTAAAAAAATAGTATTCTGGTAAATTAAAATAAAAGAAGATTAAAAAAGAACTAAAAAAGAAAAAGAGCTGCTGCAAGCATTTTAAATCAATTAAAGAATAAAAGACAGTCAAAAGAACAGAAGAGCATATACTTAAAGATTTTCGTACGTAGAAACAACAGAAAAATGTTGATTAATGTTGAAGTGTAGAACTAAAAGAGAAAAAAAAATTAATCATGAGCTTCAATTAGAAAACAGAAAAAGGACACAAAATCCAAAGACCTCATTATACGACACCTGTTGTTCTGACACACATGAAGACAAGAAGAAAAATAAATAAAAAATAAAAAATTAAATAATATATGTAATCAACTGTTTTTACGAATTTTAAGATAAACAATAGCACAGAAAATTTAGTTCTTAGTCTCAAAACCTGCTTAGATTATGTAAATTGGCATTGTATAACTACAAAACCGTTAGCTACAACGGCAAATGTTTCACATAATACGAATTATAAACAATTGTTTGAAGTATAATTTACATTATTATTAACTCTTTAGGCAGTTATGTATGAATTATTGCCGACTATTTCCAGCTGCGACTTTGAGATAAAGCAAAAAAAAAACTAATAAAATTCAAAACAATGGTTACAACCAGACACGTGTTTTGAACAAACAATTTTGATAAACTGCAAGAAAAACAATGTGCTTATTAATAAAAATAAAAATAAAAATAAGAAATAAAAAATAAAAATTAAAATAACTAGAAGATTTAAAACTATAGAAAAAAGAAAGAAATATGAAAAAATCAAAAAACAGATTAAATTAAAAAAATAAATAAATTTTAAAAAATTAAAAAAAAAGTAAAAAATAAAAAATTAAAAAAAAGTAAAAAAATAAAACAATAAAAATAATAAAAAATTATAATAATTAAATTAAAAAAAAAAATGCTGCTTGTCTTATTACAAATAACTTAATTAGTGCGTATGGTAAATAAGACATTCACGCCAGTGTTGAAACAAGCAATAGCAGACAATATATATAATGTTGAAAATATTAATTTCCATGAACGAAAACTTGTGCAATCGCCTAATAATTAAGGTAAAGTCAAGAAATTAAGGTCAATGTAAATGCATCTGATTTCATTAGTATTAATTTTTGGGTTTAAAATATGAGTTCATGACGTTAAAAAATCATGTTTTCTAATTATTTAATTTTTTGTTTCAATTTTTCTTTGATTTTATCTAAATCTTATGATCCTTCGTAATGATCCGCATATCTAGAAAACTGACTGATCGACTGATATACACAACAACGCTGCCTCTTATTTCTCGATCAACACCAGCAGATGAGATCAATATTTGCCTAAAATATTCAACTTTATGGCAACATGTGCAAA